GCCAGAGTTTGACACCCCTGTTTTAGGTTTTGTTGAGCTGGCTAACACAAACAAAGCCTGGCTAACTCGCTTCCACCTCCTGAGGTTAGAACAGTTGAAATAGTTAACGGAGATATAGTATTTTTTTAAAAAAAAGCAGTGATGTGTTCGTGTGTGAGCATTAAGATGCAACTGAGTCTTATTCAGCCTGTAAAACGTGAGAGTTTTGCTAACGAAACAAAAAAACAAGCTAACTGAAGTCGTCTGTAGCTTCAGGGATGCTTTTTTATTGCTTGTTTGTTCCAAAGATGTAAGCAGCAAACACTAATAACCACTAATTCAAACATTGCTCCTCTTTATTTCCTCGTTCAATGTACTTTCCTATTGATTGTGTTGTTAGACAGGTATATGATTTCTGTGGTGTGCTGCTGGTTTATATCCCGTCTCAAACCTTAAAGCTCTTTAAGCTAACTCAGCCCAGCTGCAGTCTCATCCACACAATAAAAGACAATAAACAAACACTGGCTGCTTGCAGATCGTGGTTTAAGACACTGGATAACGACGCCGCTTTTATAACTTTGGTTTGTTCTGAGCCAAAAACGCACGACTATCATCCCGCTACGGTTTCCCATCGGTGGTTAAAAAGTGAACGTTTTTCTGAACATAAATAGCTTTAAGGAATAAAGCTGGCAATCTCCCATATTTTGCCGCTGAATGTAATCGAGGTTTCTTTGCACAGCTGTCCATTATCAAGGTTGTGTTTGTGCCTACTGTGGATATACCGTCAGTACAAATGTAAATCTGAGATTTAGCAGGATCTGCCTGTCGAGGCTGCGGTACGGGGGGTCTTCAGAAAACAGCGGTTCAGTGTGAATTCAGTCGGATATTTACATCTGAATGTGACACGATTTCTTACCAGAAGGGAAAAATAAGCTTCAAAACACCCACATTGTTATGATTTAGCCAACATGTTTAGCCAACAGTTATTCTTTTCTACCCGGTGTGTGTGCATACTTAATGATGTTAGTTTTCAAAACAAGGGAGAAACAAGAGCTGACAAAATTGCTCCTATTTATAAAATGAGCTCAGAGTCAGGCCATGCAGAGGGTTTTTTTTTTCTATTTTGTAAATATTCAACCCTTAGCTGACAGCTAAATGGGTCTCCACATAATTTTCTGGAACATATTATAATTAAAATTGAACATTAAATGGCAGGAATGTGCTTTAATAGCGACGCAAAGGAAGAGAGTAAGTAAGAAAATGCTTTTTTATTGAGGGTAACTTGCCAAAACTCGGCTGCCTCTCTGCGGGCATCTCGCCGGCGATGAGCTGTTTGACATGGCCATAAGTGAGAAATCAAACTGAACCAGTGGCAGCATCACGAGTGTCCTAAAGAGTACTTACGGTGCCGGTTGAGAGGATGGAGCGATATTTTGGAGCCGTTTTACACACTGATTTGGTTGTAGGTCTCCACTTGATGTCCGTGTGGGTGAGCAGTGTGTTGGCTTCCTGTCCCACAGCTGCCAGCTCTCCTAAAGCCTGATGCACCACAGATTTTTGCAGATGGTGTCTGTGACGGGGGAGAGAAAAAAAACAACAACGCTGCATTCAGTTTTCATCACACAGCATCAGGATTCGCAATTCTGCACTTTAGAGAACGGGGCGAGAGTATGCACATTTGAACATTTTTTTTGTTTCAACCATCTTGAAAAGCAAGTTGTTGTGTAATGACAGAACAGCTGTAAAGAAATGGCTTCTTGAGTGTTAAACCAACCTGAGAAGATCATCTGAACGGGAAAACTGAGCTTCAGAATGAAGTTTGAAGCTCAATATGTCTCGATTTAAACGGTGATTTACTCACAGTAGTGATAATGTTTACTGGAAATCAAACTGATTACAATCTGAGGTGAATTTCTACAAACTGTCATGGCTGAAAGTTCACTAATTAATTTAATTCTGACTCCAAATGTGACAATCTGTGATCAATGCAGCCATTTCACTAGAGCTCCTTACGCCGTCAGCTCACTGTAATCCATTAAAGCTGCATCACACGGCCCAACTTTTTTTATTTTTTTTGGCCGTATGTCATTATAATTGAGTGCATTGATCTGTGGAGTGAATTTGTGGCCGTTTGCTGTGAGGCTGTGATAAGGGCTGCTTGTGCCTGAGATCAGGAAGTCACCTCTGCCTTATCAGTCATCGCTGTGGTGTGACCAAGAACTCGGCAGACACCTCCGGCTGATAAGATAAAGCGAGGGAGCAGCCGGAGGAGGGGAGTGATGGGAGGGTCCCTACCTGTCCTCTGTGGAAGACTGGCAGGAGGAGCTGTCCGACTCTGACCTCCGGTACCGCCGCCTCCGCCGCGAGTGAGTCCTGGAACTGGAGCAGAGCAGAGGAGAGAAGAAACAAGTGGATGAGCAGCTAACAGCGCTGTGATCAGCTGACCGACAGACTTCTTTAATCAATAACATTCAGAAGCAAGAACACATTTCTTAAATATTTTCCGTCTCTCTCTCTCTGTTCTGTGTTGTTGTGAATTGATTACATTTGTAGGCATCAGTCAAAACAACACCAACGTCAGGGTTTGGAAACATGTGCGTCGCATTTTTCACTATTTGTTTGGATTTAATAGAGTAAAAAATGGTTTACTAGAAGTTTGGTGGGGTTTTTTTTACCCCAAACATTACTTGCTGTGATCAGGGAAAACTGTGGCATCTACAAACTTCCACAGTACAAGAAGCACAAGTATCAGGAATATTATCTAAACCAATGTATTTGAAGGTAAAACTGAAATGAGGCACCCACAGAAACAAAAAAGGTTCTTGAACAATAACCATGCCAAGTCAGATTTCTGAATTTCTCGGTACATTTGATCACAAATGGTTGACCTATAGTTAGTATAGTGAACATGTATGTTATAGTCTGACTATGAATGCTGTTATT